ACGGTAGTACCTTGGCTGTTGTTTTTAATGAAACATGCATAAATAAAAGATTGCTACCTATATATATATATATATATATATATATATATATATATATATATATATGAGAGTCCACGCTGAGGTCTGCATTGATAATCTGTTTATGAATAAATGCATTGTTCCTGGCATGTGTTGTGCGGTAGCTCGTCTATTTATATATACTAATCAATCGGACAGTATGAGCGATTTGCTCAACCATATCCTATCCTATAAAAGTTTATTTTTTATCATTAACTTCTTGGCAACATTGACATTATTCCGAAGGATTTTAGAATAATGAAGAACGTATACCGGCAGTAAACCGCCTGCATACAAATAGTAAATGAGTTCAGCAGCTATAGAAAAATAGAAATTGTGTAAGAAAAGGATGTGTCTTCTCCCCTGACTAATTTAATCTCTACAGTGAGGCGATTCTGAGAGAATTAGAAATCCTACCACGTTTCATTAATGGCGGCCACAATCTAAGATATGCAGGATATTTATTGTATATAAAATACAATTGTGGCACAAGGCCAAAATGGAGAGGAGTTGAGGCTGGTCGTCACTAACTATCTTATACCTAAGCTAATCTGATTCACGACCCATTCACATATTATAGTTTCCACATTCACCACAAGAATTCGTCCGTCGCTAATCAGTCCTCCATCCACCATAATACCGCATCCTCTCAAAGGGAAACCTACAAAACGCGCCCCCATACATTAAAAATTTATTGATAATAAATATATATATATAATTCTAATAATGAAGAATGAGAGGGGAGGGAGGTGAACCCAATAATAAAACTAAAACAACACAAAGTAAATTAAACATGATGTTAGTAGAGCCCGTCCAACCCTCAAAACGAAGAGGCCGCTGTATTCTGCCCATTGGACAAAATCAAGAGGCTCTCTCGCTAAGGGGGGGGAGGGGAAAATATAGATGGACATGAAGAAAATATAAACCTGACCCAGTCGAGATAAAAAGCGGCCAAAACAAACTGGGGAGGTTGGGAATCTCGACTTGAATAATAACCAAAGAGGCTGCCGGGAACAGACCAGGAATGACACTCACATTAACTAGGTACACTGAAACTTGTCAAACCTAACGAAGGGGAGGGCTCCGCAGGAAACCACCCCGATGTGACGTAGGTTGACCTAAAAGAGAAAATCAAGGCTAGCCCCGTTCAAACGAACCAAGATCGCCTCTTTCAAACGACTTTCGTTGATAACACAAGGTTAATAACAGACCCGGAAACAAAATTTTTACAGAAGGTAATGAAATCGTAAAAAAAAGGATTGAACATCCACTGCAAGAAACAAACAAGTACAAAATTTTAAATATCTGAGAAGTGTTTTAATATAGGAGGAAAAGTGGTACAGTGAAATCCAAAGATACATTGGGATGGCCAAAGATGCCTTCTAAAACCTAAGGTAGAGTATTCACAAAGCAAAAAAGAGTATTGAACTATTGCATGATATCTGTCATCCTGTATGGCAGTGAATGCTGAAAAATCTTCTCAAAGATGAAGAAGAGACTTGAAGCAACAGAAATTTAGTTCTACAGAAATATACTGAAGATACAATGGGCCGAATATGTGACGAAGCTTTAGAGATAATGGAAACAAAAATGAAATTTATACTTAACATCAGGAAGAGACCCTTCAAATTTCTAGGGTATATAATGATAAAA